CAGTTCCTGAAGGATTTAAGGCATAATGAATAAGGTGACAATCTGACAGTGTCACTGCTCTGCTTAAGATCCTTCAAGGGCTTTCCTTACTAGAAATCAAGTCAAATGAGGTGGCATGGAATAAAGCTCTCTCTAACCTGACCCTACTTAAATTTGCAGAGCCATCTCCAAAACTCCAGATCTTAAATTTTATGCTCTGAAGCTAGAAACTCTGTAGTTTCTTCATCCAGACACCATGACTGGCCTACCTCCTCATCCTTGCTCATGCTGCACTGCTCCTCTGTTCTTCCTGTTCCTCCCATTCACCTTCATGTCTCACTGTGAGCATTGTCTCTTCCCTGAACCCAGGTTCTGTGCAGCAGCCCAAAGCAAGTAGGAATGTCTCATTTGGTGCATTAATTGTCCTTTCTTGACATTACCTGCTTACATCTATCTCCCTCTACTAAGCACAAGGTCTTCTAAAGCAGGAACTATACTTGACTCATTATCTTTGGGTCTTGGCATAGTCCTTGAAAGTTGTATGATTTCAGTATTTATTTCCATGGATTAAACATCTGGGTCTCCCCAAAGTTCATGTGTTTAAATCCTAACAGCAAGATAATGATACTTGTAGTTGGGCCTTTTGGGAAAGCACTAGGTCATGGGGTGAAGCCCTCATGATAGGATTAATGCCCTCATAAAAGAGAACCCTGAGAGAGAGCCCTCTGACCCTCTTTCACCAAGTGAGGATCTAATGGGAAGGTAGCAGCTACAAACAGGAGGAAGTCCTCACTAGGTCCTTTCCATGCTGCACCCTGATCTCAAACTTGCAGCCCCCATAACTATGGGAAATACATTTGTGTTTTCTAATCTAACCAATCTATGACACTTTGTCATGACAACCTGATCTAAAGCACTGTTGATCTAACTGCCACCAGATTTTAGGGCTCCAAGAGATTAGCTCATTCAGTCAATTATTTATTCCAGACTTTCTTATTGAGTGCAATATTTTAATGCCAATGACTGTTCCAGGTGCTGGGGAAATACTGAATTAGATCAGACTTTATCCTCATGGGTTCACGTTTTGACAAAGGCACGTTGACAGTGTCACATGAACAACAAAGGCAATAAACAAAGGAATGACTGAGGCTGAGCAGGTGGTGATCCTTACTTTAGCAAATATAAGAGAAGTTGGGCAAATCTTAGAATTATTTTTTTTTTCCTGAGAGTCACTTTTCACATGGGAAATATAGAGATATGCAGGCTCTTGTATTCACAAACTGTTTATAGGATACATTAGATAAACATTAGTAATGACTATAGCAAATAACTATTATCATAAATGCTGTTTGGCTTATGCACGTCATTTCCCTTGTTCTTATGAAACATGCAACAGAGGTCTTATGGTCTCTACATTAAAGGCTAAGAAACAGACATAACAGATCAATGGCTTATCTCAGGACACAAAGCCTGTGATAAAACTGCTATTTCTACGCAAGTCTTTGGTTTTAAACCAAATATTCTTTTCATTGTACTCTGATGCCTCCCTCAAAGGTTTTTCTTTCCAGTTCTTTCTAGAGAAGATTCCAACCTATTTCTCTTAGCCTTGCTGAGGCCCATATGTAATATTTCCCTCATATTAGATAGCTGAGGTGGGGGGTCTTGAAAAATTCAACTATTGCCACGACAAGATGTTCTTCAGTCATCTCAGGAGAGTTAAGTGGTCAGTGGGGCCTAAGAGGATTTATCTAATAAAAAAATTATTAATTTATAAACATGTTATTTCACTCAGCAAATATTTATTGAAGCCCACTAAGCACCAGGAACCATTTTTGGAGCTAAGGACACAACAAGAACAAAAATAAAACAGTTAAAATAAAACAGGAAAACATGAAGGGGAACCAGATGCTGACTTTGTGGTATTCCAGGGGACATGAATCCTGTATTTGTAGTGAGGGTGTGCAGAGAACCACAATAGTTTGATGACAACTTGGACACTGTTGTAGTTAAAATGTTCGTGCATGGGTCGAATCCATGGTTATTTTAGTTCCATTTCGGAGTAAAGTAGCTACAGTTCCAAAGATAAAACCTATTCACACTACAAACAAATAAAACAGAATAAAACAGAAATCCCATTGTTCTTTCACCATGTCCCCAACTTGATGGACATGACACTTAAAAGCACTCAGTTCATCCCAGGGCAATGTACAGACTCACAGCAAGAGAGGCTAGAAAATGGCAGAAACAGAGATAGGGAAAGGGAGACAGCATTGTACAAGGACAGGAGAGGCTGTCCTGAGTTAAACAGTCCAGGTGGGAAATTGGGCTTGATCTAGGAACTAAATCCCAACACAACTGGAAGCTCTATCTGTCAATTAATTTGTCAAAGATAAATACTAAGAATAAGAGAATTTTCCAGACTTGCTCAGTCAAATGAATTGTAATGATAAAATGGAAAAAAATAACATGCCAGCACTTCATTTGGCTTCAAGTATTGCTCAAGCACTCAGGCAAAAGAAGATTCACCCCCACCCGGTCCCCCATCCCTCACCAACACAGCCATGCTGCTAATGTAAAGCAGAGATCCGTGGGACTTGAAGTTCTCATTTTTTGCCTATGTTTCCCTCAATATTTTGAATACTCCTTTTTCTAACTTGCATTGAGTTCAAATGCAGATGTGTGCTATTAGCTAAAAGGTGGGAACTTTTCGAATTACTAATTAAGATCGATTTCTATTATGGACACTGATTTTCAGAAAAGGCTTTAACTTTTGAGCTATTAAATGACACTTCTGACAGACTTTTTAAAAATAATTTTTAGTTGTTGGTGGATCTTTATTTTATTTATTTATATGCTGTGCTGAGAATCGAACCCAGTGCCTCCCACATGCTAGGCAAGCGCTCAACCACGGAGCTGCAACTCCAGCCCCTCTGATAGAATTTTGTAGCTTCCTGCTCTCAGCCTGAGCCGTGTGTGTGTGTGTGTGTGTGTGTGTGTGTGTGCGCGCGCGCGCAGATTTTATTTCCTCTAGGTTCCACAGGGATAAAGCTATCAGACACATCTTGTGTTTTTTCTCTGAGTCTTGTTTCAAAATGTTCAGGGGCATCCTTCCTGATGAATTGATAAAAGATTTGGGATTGGGACATGGATCGTTTACTTCAAAACATAAAATAGAGGGATGATTCAATGTTACTGTATAGTGGGGAATTCAGCCTTCCAAGTTATCCAAAATCCCCTCCAGAAAAATGCCCAGCTCAGCGCTGCTGCACTATCCCATGAACCAGCATCACGTGGCCCCCATGCTTCAATCACTCTGAGCCCCGTCCTCTGCAATGGGACTGTAGCAACCATTTTTTTTTTTTCTGGTGAAAGTGCAATTCCAAGGTAGTGTGTTTAAGAACCTTTCAGAGTTTGTTAGACATTGAGTAGTTTATACCTTTATTCTATTGAAATAGGAGTAAATCCCAGGGAAGATGCGCTCTATGCCTACCATAATTTTTTCAGAAATGACAGTGGAGTCCCTGAAGCCAGCAGAAGCTGAGAAAGGAAAGCAGTCTTCGGATTCTCCTCTTAATTCGTCCTTCAGATGGAGAACAATACAAAGCTATAATTGGATTTCTCCCTCCTTTGTCATTCTCTCCTTTCCACCCCTTCCTCTCAAATCACACATGGTTTATTGCAACAAGGCTCAGCTCAAATGTCACTTCCTCTCTAAAACTGACTCCCACCTAAAATTTATCTGTTTCCTCCACTCAATCAGAGCATTTAGTCTGTGGCACCGAACACATGGTGTCTTACGCTGTAATTATTCACTTACTGACCTCATCTCTCTTCCTAGATTATAACGTTTTTCCACCATGGAGACCATGGCTTGTGAAGAACCATCCAGTTTTGTTACAGCACATTAAATAAGCACATCAGTGCTTATTTGATAAATTAGGCCATCCAGTAATTCCTGAGTGTGTACCTCCTGTGTGCCAAACAAACCAGACACAATTCCTGTCCTGACCTGGCTCACAGTTCAGTGGCAGGAATGAGCCCATGTACAGTGTCACCTCATATATATCTGCTATTCGACAAACTTCAAATACCCATAATAAGAATAAACCATATGCCCTGAGAGGAAGCTCATAAGATGTCACAAGGGATCTTTATCTATAAGAAGGAACACTGTTAGCTTTTCAAGGAATTTCCCTGGGGAAATGGTATAGATATCTTAGACCATCAGACTTAGCTTAGATTAAACAAAATGTACAGTGTACCGCTCTGATGACACAGTCTTCTGAAAGAACTCTACCAAATCAAGTCTGATTCTTTTTGCCTCCACAATTGACCTTAGAGATTGAACTTACACTTGACTGAAGCTCCTTTGCTCTCAGACACAGGTCTCAACACATCAGCTACAATGGTAATAAATGAGTAATGGCAAAGCCTCACTGCTTTCTCACAGCTATTGCTACGAGCTTTCAGGAAAGAAAAAGAAAAGACAGAAAAGCCAGTTTTTTGAGCCTTAATATTACATTCTGAGAATTTTCCTTCATCTCAAATAATGAGACGCTTGGGAATGCCAGACTTGGCGAAGGTAAAATAATGCATATGTTATATTTTGGGCAAAGCACACAGCCACAAATTGAACCACTTTTAGCTAAAGAATCTCTACCTGCCAAGTGAAAAGCACAAAATCAAACTTCACACATGTCTAGTTCCTTGTGATTTCACAGACCTTTCATCTGTGTTACTGCATTTAATGTATAAAGCACAACCACTGATGGGATAAGATTCTCGGTTAGTTAGATGAGGAAACAGAGCCACCGAGTATTCAAGTGGCAAACCTGAAGTCATCCAAGCAGTTTAAGCCAGGATGAAAAGGCAGGACCCCTGCTTCCCAGTCCAATGTCTTTTCTGCCTCAACCTCTCATCTCATAGAAGATTAGGTGACAGGTGCAGTCATTGATCTAGCAATCTCATTCATTCTTAAACAGTTGCACAGCACATTATAAATAGAGCTGTGTGAATTTTACCTCCTTAAGGCAGCCCATGAAGTTGTTGCTCACAGGTGAGCCCGGCAAGTCAGCGGTACTTGGGCTTCCTCCCACGTAGAAGAAATCATCCGAGCCCAGCATAGTGTAGTCTTCCTGCGTATAGCCCGTCGTGGTAAGAATGCCATCCACAGAGATTGTCACCTGGTGGTAGGACATAGGGACAAAAAAAATCCCAGCAATGACCGTACAGTCCTATCAAAACCTAATGGCTTCCCCTATTTGTGGCATCACTTTTATTAAGATTTTAGTGAGGTATTCGTTCTAATTTGGTTTGATTTTGGTATGTGCAGCTAAGTTCCATTTTCTGGTCTGCCTCCCTGTGTCCCAAGCCTACAGTATTTCCCTGCAGACCCATGGGAGATTGGCTACAATTGCCAAGCGGAGCACCTTGTTCTACCCATTGCACACTTTATTCAGGCTAGAAAATGGAACCATCCTCAGACGATATCACTTGTCTCAGTTTCATTACTAATGATCGTTATTTTTTTTAGATGATTGTTATTTATGATGTTAATGGAAAACAGCAAAGGAGACATTAGACAATGACGTTTGTTAGGGGTTGGTCTTTGGTTGTGGATGTTTTTTTTTTTTTTCCTTTTTTCTTTTCTTTTTTATTTGTTTCTTTTTTGGCTCACACCACACTGACAAACATGCATTCCGAAAGGGGAAAAAAAGAGGGTCTCTATTTTGATGTGTCAGGGATGATGCATGCCATGGAGTAACCCAGGATAACCAACCCCTGCCCTCCCTCCTCTGCCATCACCACCACCAACAGAAGAAATGACCCAAACCAAAAAGCCAACTCTAACAAAAAGAAAGGAATGGTGAGGCATGATAACCAAAATGATAATGCCCGTGGGGAAAATGCAGCACCCACACACCCAACATCCACGAAAGGAGCAGAGGGCAGAGAAAGATGGCACCCAAAGCGTGGACACACCATACGCTGCCACACCCATGCGGAAATTATCTGGAGCCAAGAGAGAAGGCAGAAAAACAAAAGTAGGGATGTGGGAAAGGGTGGAGAGAAGTAAAGGAATTAAAATCCACTTCACACTTGCATGCACTGAACAAACAGAAAAAAAAAAAAAACCCAAGATGAAGTGGGGGGGGGAGAAAACACTGAAAACTAAAGGGAAATCATCTTTCCCCTGCCTGCCACCTCCCTCACTTAAAAAAAAAGAAAGAAAGAAAAGGAAGAAAAAAAGAAAAGAAAAAGTCCAAACCCAACCCCCAAATATATGAAGAATGAGAGAATGAAAATAGGGAGGGAAGAAAAGAGAAGAAAGTGGCATGAGGTTGATGGTCGGTAGGTTGTTAGTAATGAGGAGGAAAATGAGAAACAAATTCTGATGCCGATGGGATTCCACGAGACAGGACCATGCCATGCAGAGTTTGTATGGAGAACACAACTGGCAGAGCTCCCTTTGGCCACAGTGGGGAACAGGTAAGAGAAGGGAAAGGAAGAGTCTAGGAGGCAGAGTACTTTCCTCCCCAGATCACCTGTGGTGGCCATGGCCACACAAAAGGGCAAGAGAGAAGGGATTGAGGAGTGGGGAGGAGAAAAAAAGGAAGGAGGAAGAGAGGGAGGGGAAGACATGGAGAGCAGAAAAGTTCTCACTAGAAATCTCAGTTGTCCCTCGTCCATAACTTGGAAGTTGCAAAATAAGAAAACAAAATAAGAATTTAACTGAATGGAGAAATTCTTTACCAAAAAAAAAATAAAAATAAAAAATACTTCTAGGGAAAAAAAAAAAAACACCTAAAAAGTGGAGGAAGAGAAAAACAGTCCCCACCAAATTCCATCAAATAGCATTTCCAGGACAGGGGCGTCCCCTTCTATTATTATTATTTTTTTTTTTAAGAAAAAGAAAGGCTTGCATTTAATTTAACAAAAAAATAAAAAATAAAAAAAAGAAGAAATAAGTCTAAAGAGGATAAAAGAGGGGTTTGGGGAGGAAAAGGGGGGCAACACACGGCAAACCCAAAAAAAGAGACAATAAGAATGATATCTACCAGACAATGTAGTTTGTTTACCATAGCGTGTCCGATGCCTGAGTGCTTTGCGGAGAAGGGGGAAGAAAGGAAATTAAAAATTGTGAACAGAACGATTGTTAATTAAAAAAACTAAAAACAAAGATGAGTCGTTAGGGTGTTAGTACATTAGTCGGTTAGTAAATGACACATTGCATGAATGATCTTGTGTTAGTTTTTCAAAAAAAAGGCACCCAACACAGAAAGAGAGAGTGGGGGAGACAATGAGACCAGGACTCTATGGAAAACCTTGCCACCCGGTCACAGCCAGGAAGGGAGCTATGGTCCACCAGCCATAGCAACTGCCCAGATACCACTTGGCCCACACCCCACCCCTGTTAGAGTTCACTTCATACTTACGTCCCAACGGCTCTTCTGAATACCACCTATGGTCCCTGCCCACCCTCTAGTGTGTGTATGAAGAATCTGGGTAAACGTTGATTCTTCATACACACACACCTGGTCTGAAGAATCAAAGTTTACCCCAAAAGCTTATCATTCCATATGCAGATAAACAGAGAGAAAGAACTGAATACCAATATGTTGGTGTTTGGTTTTTGCTTTTTCACATGAATCTGATTACGTGGATGGACTACCGGATGGCATTCTCCTACAAGTAATTTAAACATTCACAGACCAAACCTAGCAGAGAAAGCTCCTTGGCAAGGCATACTCTAGGTTCTCTAGGTAACTTAAAGATCCATGGCCCCCTTGATTTTTTTGGATTTTAGCAGCCGGAGGGGAATGTTCTCCTTTTTCCTTTACTCTCAGTTTCAGATAACTCTCATTAGAATGCATCAGAAATGTTAGTCTTGTTTATTATCCAATGAGAGCATCATCTTGTTTACTTTGCAGGATGCTATCCTGTTAGAATCACTATCCCTCATTCCCCCTGAATACAGCTTTTCATGTTGTTAAGCAGTTTCTTGCATGGAGAGCAGGGAGTATGGCAGGTTCAACATGGTTAGAGAAGCCCCAAAATTAGACTCTTTTTGCTCATTTCAAATGCTGAGTTGCCAGCACACCCTGAGCTCAGAGGTTAGAAGGATAGCAGACTATAACCCTGATTCTGTATTCAAGGTTTAAAAAAAGTGGCCCCCAGAGGTAAAATGATTAATGGTATGGGTGTGACCTTGGACTCAGGCAAGTTAGAGGGTAAACCCTCTTCTATGTGCACATGAATGCCCCAGTAGCTCAGTCTCTAGTTCCAGTTTCAATTTAGAGAACAGATAGAAACACTCCACATTCCTTTTTTCTATAGGAAGCCCCAATGAAGTACCTGGTTTGGCTCTGAGTTGCCTTAATGGCAGAACCATGAATTGATGTCCACAAAGGAAGAAATGAGAAGATTCTTCCCTGTTTGGTAATGAATACTTCAAAAAACTCCATGTAAATTTTCCTCATGTAAATTTTTGCCACAGAAGCCATTTGCTCTCACCTCTAAAAGTGCATGAGGCTGCCATAAGCTTGTTATCAAATATTTATGAAGCTATTTACAATCTATTTGAAATAGACTGGGACTTCCCACTCAATTGTGTCCTAAAGAACTCAAAAAAGATGTTATAAATATTTTTTAATGGGAAAAATAATAATCTTATATTACTCAGCCCTGGAAGGATTTTATTTACAAGATCAACTCTGTTTTTCAGATTTTCCTTTCTTTCCACAAATTGTATTTGGATGCAAAACACAATCAGGATTCCAACTAGGTCCAATTTCAGGGGTATTTTTTCACATAAGAGTACTAGACTCTCTGTCAAGAATTACCCCAGAACCCCAGGACCTCTTAGACCTTGTCCAGAACAAAGAGCTCTATTAACTGTATTCTTGGCACCAGAGAGAAGCAGTCACCTCTGGGACAGAATGCTCAGCCTGTAAATCATCCACACGTCACCACGAGTCTAGCACCCAGCCCATGGATGAGCTCATAATCCTTCTGGAACATAAGGTGCTTTGCATATTTAGCCACCACACATGGCTGGGGAGCATTGCAATCAGCATTTTACAAATGGAAACTGTGCTGCAGGGAGGTTAAGTGGCTTGTCCAAGGGCACAGAGAGGAGATGAGCCTTAGAAGTTGGAGCAGAGCACAAACCTTCCAGGGTGTTTTCCTCAGATTGCTCTGACTAAGACATCACAACCAATATTTGAATTAAACTCTGATTTATCCCCTCTAGTTTAAAGGATTTAATTGGGGACTGATGCTATTTAGAACCGTGATTTTGAGCAGAAACAAAACTGAGCCTTTCTCAGGCAGACTGGAATTATTCTAGAATAGCTGGGAAGTGTGTGGAGAGAGACAAATGACTTGGCGAGAACTGTGACCTGATACTGTTCCCAGTATATCAAAAGTTTCCCCTCCACTAATGACTAAAGGGTGTTATTCTGTACCTGTCAATCAAAACTGGCAAAAGGTCATATTTCATTTTTGGTCTATTCTCTACAGCTCAGACATATTAAGTCCTTCTATGTCAGCATATAGAAATTTGACTTATGTTCTCTTGACAGTTGAGAAGTTCTCTTCTGGGTAACTATGGAGAGTCATGGAGGAAAACATCAGCAATAGGTTCTTTGGTCGTGGAAGGAAAACACAGGAGAATGACTCCAAAGAGTCAAATTCACATATGTTGAGAGGGTAGGGGATTCCAGGCTTTGCATTAATTAGCATCTTCGCCACAGATAGAATGGAATTTCCCAACCAGGTGGCTTCCTTGACACACCTAAATGTGGAATTGGAGAGTATTTTGACAATTGGGCTTTTCCAATGTGTGCCAGCCTCCACCATTTGTCTAGCATTACTTAGGAGTCACGCTTTTATCAGACAGAAAACATATGCAAACACCTGTCATGTCTTTTGCTTTTATGTTTACATGCGAAGGCATTAAATCAATCATAATGCTGGAGAAAAATTTGATAAGCACTTTCTGGAAATTTGCACATAATGTTTTCTGATTAATAAAGGCTGAATGCTGACCAACTGGGTTTTGTTTGACAGATTCACAAGTAGAAAAAAAAGGAAGGGAAAAGAGGAACAAGGAAAAGGCGATCTCAGCACAGACCTTGACTCTTACAGGAAATGCTTGTCTTTTATGGATGTTTGCTGATAAGGTAATGTTATTAGTAGTAGCAGTGAGGACATTGAATACATCTTCACTTGACTCAGGCTTTCTGAAAACGTCGTCACCTGACGGAGTGGCCTGCTTAGAATCGGCAAGCCATGGGAGTTCTCAAAGCACGGACAGGGTCAGGAAGGCTGCTCCAGGGTTGGCATTTTTATTTGGGTCTTTCCACTTCCCAGTCCTTCCAACTGAAGAGTCTTGGAGGTAGATACAGGGCAAATAAAGGTAGGACCACCACATTGCATCAAGGAACAGAGAAACAGGAATTCAGAAAGATCCCAGCTAGTTAATTTGAAAGCCAGAGATTAATGTCACAACTGGGGGGTGGGGTGGGGGGAGTAGGGATGATAAATTAAAAGGAGGAGGGAGAAAAAAAAAAGTTTTTTTTCTGGAGGAAATTAAAATGATGGCATCATGGCAATGGCTAACTTAATTAAAAAGAAAAACATATTCAAAGAATGAAGAAAAATCCATCAAGCTGCAGAAACAAAATGCTATCCCTAATTGAATTTAACAATAGCATGATAAGATTCAAATGTAATTAAGAAAATGATAAAAAGGAAAGCAGAATTAAAAGGATGAAAGTACTTATCATTTTTATTATCTGTACAACTGATTTTTTTTTAAAAAATAACAAGAACAAATGGAGAATTGAAGACTCGGGAGAAACACATTGTAATCGTTTTCCTTGTGGAATTGCAAAGACTGGAAAAAAGTTAGTTTTTAATATATCCAAACCCACATCTCTACCCCTCTGCACCTCCCCAGTCACCTGCTTCACCAGCGTTCTACCTAAGATGGGCCTCCCGGGCACTCTCTCCCCTCAGCCATTACCTGCCGGAGGTTGCGTGTCACTTTGACATCATGCCAGGCGTTGTCGTTGAACTTCCCATTCACTGGCTCCACAATGGCCTCAAAGGCCCCGGACCCCAGGTTAATGACCAAGGAGACCGCACCATCCTTCAGAGCCAGGTTGACATAGTCAGCCGACTTGCCCGTGTGCAGGATGAGCCCGTTGCGCTGCCAGGTCTTGAAGGAGAGGGTGATTTCGTCACTGCTGCTCTGGATCGGGTTCTGAGATAGGTCGTAGCACAGGTATTCTGAGCCTCGGAAAGTGGCCACATTCTCCTCTCGAGCTGTCGGAAACAAAAAGCAGAAAGTAGTCAATCCTTGACTGACAAGTGTCGGATCTATGCAACTACCAAGGAGAACACAGCCCAAGAACACTAACCCCTGTCCTTGCACTGATACCAACTCAGCAACCGCCCTGGCTTCTACATGAATATCAGCAAACCTAGTAGAGCAGCTGGTGGGGGAGAAACTGTGTGTCAAAACAAGGGTAGAAGACAGGCAAGATGAGATGGTGCAAGGGAGCTTGCTGCCTTCCCTTCCAATCTTCTCAAAGAAACACCTAAAGAGAAATTTCATGCAAAGTAGTCAAGTGAGGCTTACATTGCTTTTGCTTCAGTGATGGCTTTTAAATGCTTGTAGAGGAGCTGGTTTAGAATAGATAATTAACTGTGCTGACAAAGGACTCTCTAGCTCTAGGTACTTTTTATTGACCAATAACTAAAGATCAATTACCCTGAAAGATTTGGCCCTGGCTTCCATCTATCAATAAACCCTGCTAACTTTGGTTTCTATGGTAAAATCCTGAGCCCCGTGAGTTGTGGCTGAGATATTATATAGGAAGTTGAACATGAGAAGGTGACCAGGCAGTTGAGGAAAGGGGAAGAGAATGAAATTGTTAATGTTCTTTAGCAAGACGGTGATAACACTCTTAAACTCAAGCAAAAGGAATTTCTGCTTGTTCGGGGATCTCCTTTTAGATGGCCCTGGCTGGACATTTCCATGGCCACAACCCTCTGCGAAAATTAGGGGTTTATAGATGGCATTTCAGGGGAACCTATACTCTCTTTTGAGATCACATTTCAGACACTGAGATCCTGTAATTCTCAGCCTCCAAATCCCCAAGCCTATTTATATAGGCCTCTTCTCTGGCTTCATCTTTCTGTAGGCATACAGAAAGATGAAGCAACATCAATACCTCAAGGGTACCAACATCAATACCTCAAGGTTTATAAGGGGAGATGTAGGAGACTATTTGCAAGAGTGTGGATGGAGTTTGATTATGTAGGCTGGGTTATCCACATGCATTTTGACTAGACCCCTCGTGATAAAGGACAGAGCTAAAGGTGGAAAGAGAAGGTGGGTGGCCAACTAACTGAGGAGCAAGAGGAGACTGATTCTCTGTGCAATGCTATTTCTTATAAGCAAAACCCTGAAGATTCCAAAAGTTCCCATTTCTGGAACCTGGTCTTCCAGGGAGTTACAAAAGTAAATTTGACAAAGTAAGAGAATAGGGATATGATTAATCATTTGTTTATTTGACTTATAATTTTGTGATACAGAACAGGAAGTACAATTTCCCTTCTTGCTGGTTAGCCTCACTTAGGTTCACTACTTCGTACTAAGGTTGGTCAAAAGCTGTCGAGAAGCACCTTGTTAATGGAAAAAAAAAATGGCAACAATAGAAGACTATATATGCAGATTTCCTTCTGCAAAGTGAGGTTGAAAGAATTCTATTTTCCCTGCCAGAACTACATTTCAGTACTATTAACCAAAGCTAAGTTCCCTCAGCTCAGATCCCTATCAACCATCACAGCCCTACATCAAATACTTAAGAAAAATAAAATACATATTTTCTCATCACAAAGTAAGAACTGCAATCACTCTTTATGTGGAGATACAACCACTCATTACATATTGTTAAATTAATCATGGTATCATGACACCATTAAAACATGGACCTCAACTTCATACTCCAGAGGGTTAAAAAAGAAGATGAATTTCTTCTGCATGTTCCAGAGGATCTCAGTGGTACATACCTGCATACTCTGTTTATACACACACATACACTGGCATAAGCAAAGGGGTCTATTTACCTCTAACTAACTGCAGTCTAGCTTCTCCATGTATTCAAGAACAAGTACTATTTAGCACCTAACTCATGTCTGATGTGTTTTATCAAAAGTAGCACCCCCAATCATAAAGTAGAAATTCAACACCGTCTGCATATTTGAAATAGATCCATCTAATCCTCTACTACCCTGTCTATCATCGTGATCTCTCCTCTCATTTCTTAAGAAATGGCTTTGCTAAAATGCAATGGGACATCAGACCTGGAGCTGAACTAGAGTACATGACAAATTAATGCAGTTATCACAGCTAAGCTCTTTTCCTAGAGTCATGGACTTGCACAAAGTCTGTGTGCATCCTTAATACTACAAAAGTTATACTGGTGGTCATCTTCTATATATATCTCAGTTACACCTGTGTGCCCACTGAAGTAAATGAGCAAGGAGAGGAGTGCCTGTGAAGAGAAGCTTACATTAATCATGGAGCCTCTTGAAAAGGGAAGGCTTGACACAAAACAGCAAGACACCAGGAGATTATTTAATGTGCTATGTGATGCTTAGTATTTTTCGCGTAATTAGAGCATGGGGTATGTCAAAATAATAAATTTTAGTGTTACAAGGGATTTTAAGGATTGTCTAATTTAATGCTTTTATTTTATTAAGGAAGAAATTGATGACTGGGAATGAGTTGCCCGAGATGATCCAGTTAGTTTGTGGTACTCCAGACTTGAAGCATCTTTGAACTTATCTAAACAGCAGTTATGGGTCCCTCCACCATCACCCTGGATATTCCCTTGCTCCCATTCTACTTCTCCAAGGCTATGTGTGAATGATTCCACGGAGCCGTGGGCTTACAAACTATCTGAGAGCTTGGATAAATGAAGCCAGAAATAAATGCCTCTCTTCCTGTATAAATCACACTTCCTCACCATAAGAAATATTTCCCTTTCCCTCTGTGTTTAAAATAAAAGAACTTGTTTTATATAGAAGATTATAGGGAAAAAATAAATGACATCAACAAAGAGGAGGATATCACAATAAATAAATAAGATATTAAAAAGAACAATGAGGAAAGGAAACTGTCTATGCAAATTACATGCATATTTATGCTAATATCCATGCAAATATACCAAAGAAAATTTTATGTAGCCAAGTGCCTTCCTTTGCAAGTATCTAACCGAAACAGCTAAAACAGTTCACAGCCTTCTTAATCTCTCCATTCAGTGATTCATTTTCTCAGTTTATCTGTTCCCTGGGCCAGAGATGACCAGGCATTACCTACCAGGAGCTCTCCTTCCTCAGTTTCCTCAAACAACTCCTCTCTGATTCACCTTTTAGATGAGCAAACTTATTTCCTTTTTAACTTCTGGGATAATTTCCTCCTAAGTATTAGGAAGAGAGACCCAGCAAGGCAGGACCCAGTCTCAGGAAATAAATAAAGGGCTACAGGGGAGAAAGAAGAAAGACCTTGAAGAAATTATTCTTTTGGACACTCACATCTGACATACTTTTTCTCCCAACTTATCTCAATTTCCTTCAAGCAGCTGAGCCTCAGTCACTTTCTTATCACTTTGAAAACCATACTAAGTTGACAGCCAACATAACCAAAAGGGGAAAACCATATAATGACAGGTACACATTTCTAAACCCATTCAATTCTCCAAACCCTCCATTAGAAAAAAAAAAAAATGTAATAGTGCCCCGAATCTATTTTTTTTTTTAACATGGTGTTGACACTGAGAAGGAGGTTGAAAAGACAATGCAGTCACCTTGTATGTATTCAGGCTAAATAGCTAGAGAAGATGAATGCAGGGGATTATGTAACACAGTGCACAAAAGCTTAGCATACAGCTATGGCTTGGCAAGAGAGACAGAAGGCACTGACACAGCTAACGGATACTTAGCTTCCTTGAAATTAGATCACCCCAAAGTTTACAATCAATTGCATGTAAAAATAAGAACGCTATTCTCACTGCATGAGAAACAGAGCTCAACTCCATATGACAACAAATCATTTACCCATTATTTGTAAGTGTCCAATTGATAAACAGTAGATGTAATCTAGATATGTATAATTCAGAGATTTTTAAATCAGTATGTATAAGATATGTAAAGTACTGATTTTTCAAATGGCTTGCTAATTGAAGTACTGATATATATGTAACATTAAGACATTTACTCAAATTTTTTTTCTCCAATTTTCCCTCCAATAAACAGCCAACTACTGATTTATATAATAATAGCTGTATTTTTCTGAGAAGTTTCAAAGTAGAGTAAAATATTCAGTGTAATATTTTCTCACTGTGTAATATAAAAAGTGTGGGCAGCTGATTCCTGGGGGCTTGGTATTGTAAGGACCCAAACAATGTTTGAGATCAGGAAATTTGGATTTTATGTTGAAGGTTATGAAGAATCATTGCATAATTTTACTGAGAAGAATTCAAGATTATGTAATCCTTTAAAAACACACTTGAACCCCTTTTCTAGGATGCCTGGGATTGTTCAGCCTGAATGTTGATACAATTTCTGGAGTGAGGTTTGCATTTCACTGGGCAGAAATGGAAGCAAAAGATTCCTAACAGAAACAGCCTGAGGAAAGGAGAGGCAGAGATTCTGGCAAGCCAGAAACCACAGGGGGAATCCAATATGTGGATGCTTAAGATCAAGTACAAACAGGAAAACCAAGGACCAGTGACAAAAATTGAAGGAAAAGGACACAGCATTAGACAAAAATGGCTCAAAATGAGAACATGTCAGGTCTGGCTATAGAAGCACTCTAGGGCCATTTGCAGACATTCATGGCTTTTTAATCCTATCATATATTATTAAATGCTTTCTTAATCATTATTGGTATTCTTCCAATACTCTGTGAGGTTAGTTTGTTGTAATCAATGTGAGGAAACAGAGGCACATGGAGTCTGGATAGTTTGTCCAATCCACTAGGAGAGCCAGTTCCATATCCTGGGGTCATATTGATTCTTATTTTATTGTTTTTGCTACTCCAGCACACCCTCGCTTTACCAGGAGATCAAATCCCCAGTAAAGGTACCTAGTACCCTATATCTGAGGGTCTGGAGCTGCAGGAACTTCAACCTGTCAAAAGATGAATGTCAATAACAAGGAAAGGGGCACCCAGACAGTAGGAACCTAAGCAGGGAAGCAGGGGAGGGGGCTGACTTTGGCTCCAAATTCTCCAGTAGCAGGTTGGAAAAGGTCAG